GCTTGAACCCGTGTCCCCTGCATCGGCAGGCAGATTCTTAACCACTGCACCACCAGGGAAGCCCCTAAATTAATATATTCTAACAGGAAACTTTACATTACCACCATGAATTCACTTTTATTCACTACACATTAAAATAACTTTCCATCCATGAGCCACTTCAGATCACCCCATGTCCTTACAGTGGTCTGGGTATGATCACCTCATGCTAGATCATAAGGGGTATGAGTGCCGGTGCTGAGAGATGAGGCCAAGAAGGTGTATGTGGCCGGCCCATGGAGGGCCTTAAACACCAGGCTAGGGCTTCCCTGGTGGCGCAGTGGTTGAGAGTCTGCCTGCCGATGCAGGGGACACGGGTTCGTGCCCCGGTCCGGGAAGATCCCACATGCCGCAGAGCGGCTAGGCCCATGAGCCATGGCCGCTGAGTTTGCACGTCCGGAGCCACAACGAGAGGCCCGCGTACAGAAAAAAAAAAAAAAAAAACCACCAGGCTAACATGTTCAGACTTCATCCTGTCAGCAGTGGGAAAATACTGAAGGCTTCAGAGGAGGCAAACAACATTATGACTGTGCCTTAAAAATATATCTGCGGCATGGAAAATAGACTGGAGGGGAAGAGACCAGCAGGCAAGAATAGACAAAAGCCTGCAGTCCAGACCAGAGGAGATCAAGTTCTGGACCACAGCAGTGACAGTGGAGACAGAGGCAGGAGGATGAATGGGAGAGATTTTTTTTTGGAAAGGGAGAGAAGTTAAAGATAGCTCCAAAATGTTGAAACTGTGACATTTATCCTGAGGCCTGAAATATGAATAGGAGCTAGCCAGGCAACGAGCTGAGGAAAGAGTCTTCCAGGCAAAAGGGACAATATGCACAGAAGCCCGGAGGCTGGGGAACAGAATGAGTTGAAGAAACTGACAGAAGAACAGTATGGTGGCATGCAGAGAACTAGGGGGTGGCCAGGGGCTCCATCACGGAGGACCTTCAGAACCAAGTTTATGAGACTGGACTGGATCCTAAGAGTCATGGGAAGCCATGTGAGTTGTTGAATTATTGAAATACCATTAACCCCCATAGGTTCTCATATTTATCATTAATTTTGATCCATTAAGTAATCACAGAGCCACAGAAATGTCTCTTTGACAAACAGCCATGTTCTTGGTTATATGCTATAGAAGGACAGAGATTTGCATTTAGCATGCTGGCTGCATCATGGCTCAAATCGAAGCAGGTAACCTGTTTAGAAGACATTGGCAGTCAGCTTAGAGAGAGAGAATGGTGGCTTAGACAGGATGGTAGCATGGAGGTGGGGAATAGAATAATTTGAAAGATGTTTGGAGGACAGAACTGACGGGAATTAACAATTGACTAAAGGAAAGCGATAATTAGAGCTCAGTGGTGAAGAGTACAGTCTCTGGAGGAAGAGTGTGAGTTCTCAACTCTGGCTCACCCACTAGCTGGCTGTGTGACCTTAAGTGGTTATTTAACTTCTCTGAACCTGGGTTCCTCATTCACAAAATGAGAATGCTTATTGTCCTAATGGGGGCTTTATGAAGATTTAATAAAATACACATGTAAAATACTTAGTTTTACATGATGAGTGTACAGTAAATGTTGGCTATTACTATATGGGGAAAGTGAGCAAGAAAGATGAATCAGAAATGATTTGAAGAAAGGACCCAGTTAGATTCATATTGGTACCATCTTTAACTTAAGCTAGTAATCATTAGTAATTTGAGGGTGTACAGGTTTACATTTATTTTTTTTAAGTCAAGACCAACGGTGAAAAAGGATATTACATAATGGTAAAAGGGTCAATTCACCAAGAAGACATAACTATCCTAAATGTCTATGCACCTAGCAATAGAGCTTTAAAATATATGAAGTGAAAACTAACAGAACTGGAAAAAAAATAGACAAATTAACAATTACATTTGAAGACTTCCTTGAAAACCACAAACAACCAAAACTCACCCAAAATGAAACAGATAATGTGTAACTATTAACTAAATTAAATTTTAATTTTGGAAGGTTATAAACCTTCCAAAACAGAAATCTGAAGACCCAGTTGGTTTCAACGGCATATTCTTCCAAACATTTTAAAGATGATATATCACAAATTCTACACAATCTTTTTCAGAAAATAGAAGACGAAAGAACACTTGCCAACTCATTTATGAGGCCAGACCCTGATACCAAAACCAGACAAAACAGTACAAAAAAAAAAAACTACAGACCAATATCCCTCATGAATATAAATGCAAAAATCCTCAAAAAAATACTAGCAAATCAAACAAATATACCATGACCAAGTGGGCTCTATCCCAGAATGCAAGGGTAAATATTTGAAAATCAATCAACGTAACCTAGCATATTAACCACCTAAGGGAGAAAAAACACACACAATTATATCAACTGATGTAGAAAAAGCATTTGACAAACTTTAACCCATGATAAAATCTCTCAGCAAACTAGGAACAGAAGGCAACTTTCTCAACTTGATGAAGAGCATCTGTAAAAAAAAAAAAAACCTTGCAGGTAACATCATACTTAATGGTGAAAGACTGAAAGCTTTCTCTCTAAGATGAGGAGCAAAGCAAGTATGTTCACTCTCACCATTTGTATTCAACATCATACTAAAAGTCCTAGCAAGTGCAATAAAGCAAGAAGAAAAAAAAAAGAAAGAAAAGCATTCAGATTGAAAAGTAAGAAATACAACTGTCCTAATTCACAGATGACATGATCACCTGTGTAGAAAATCCCATTAAATTAAATACTTTTAAAATCTACTAAAAAAAATCCCTCTAAGGGTGTGGAGAAAAAGGAACCCTCTTGCACTGTTGGTGGGAATGTAAATTGATACAGCCACTGTGGAGAACAGTATGGAGGTTCCTTAAAAAACTACAAATAGAGTTACCATATGATCCAGCAATCATACTCCTGGGCACAAATCCGGAGAAAACCATAATTCAAAAAGACACATGCACCCCAATGTTCATTGCAGCACTATTTACAATAGCCAGGTCATGGAAGCAACCTAACTGTCCATCGACAGATTAATGGATAAAGAGGATGTGGCACATATATACAATGGAATATTACTCAGCCATAAAAAGGAACGAAATTGGGTCATTTGTAGAGATGTGGATGAATCTAGAGACTGTCATACAGAGTGAAGTAAGTCAGAAAGAGAAAAACAAATACCGTATACTAACACATATATATGGAATCTAAAAAAAAAAAGGTTCTGAAGAACCTAGGGGCAGGACAGGAATAAAGATGCAGACGTAGAGAATGGACTTGAGGACATGGGGAGGGGGAAGGTAAGCTGGGACGAAATGAGAGAGTGGCATGGACATATATACACTACCAAATGTAAAATGGATAGCTAGTGAGAAGCAGACACATAGCACAGGGAGATCAGCTCAGTGCTTTGTGACCACCTAGAGGGGTGGGATAGGGAGGGTGGGAGGGAGACACAAGAGGGAGGGGAGGGGATCTGGGGATATATGTAAATGTATAGCTGATTCACTTTGTTATACAGCAGCAACTAACACACCATTGTAAAGCCATTATACTCCAATAAAGAAGTTGAAAAATAATTAATAATGATTCATATTTAACTTTATCTGAGTTTTCTTCTGAAGCTTACCCAGCAAATTTACTCTCATCTTTTTTAAAAAATAAATTTATTAATTAATTAATTTATTTTTGGCTGTGTTGGGTCTTCGTTTCTGTGCGAGGGCTTTCTCTAGTTGCGGCAAGTGGGGGCCACTCTTCATCGCGGTGCGCAGGCCTCTCACTGTTGCAGCCTCTCTTGTTGCGGAGCACAGGCTCCAGACGCGCAGGCTCAGTAGTTGTGGCTCACGGGCCTAGTTGCTCCGTGGCATGTGGGATCTTCCCAGACCAGGGCTCGAACCCGTGTCCCCTGCATTGGCAGGCATATTCTCAACCACTGCGCCACCAGGGAAGCCCCCTACTCTCATCTTTTATGAGGGTCAGAGGTAGCCAGATTTGTATCCATGGCAATCTTCCCATAAAATTCCTCCCCCTGCTATTTCCTATTTAATTAGTATGCTTACAACAACCACTTCAGCCAGCTCTTGTAAGGGGAATTCAGCCTATCACTAAGGTTTCTTCTACTCCATAACACGACTTTTTTTTAAAATGCCCATTCCATCTTTTTCCTGTCATTTTCATCTAAGCCCAAAATGCTAGAGACAAACCTGCTGGCAGGTAACTCTTGAGTTTCTTCCCCTTCTCTGAAACTTTTATCTACTATGATGTTATCTGGTCAAAGAAGTCATTCCTTTAGCTGGGTATTTTTAAATTCACAATATGTGTACTGAGCCCCTCTTTCTCATGAATGCATATTTTAAAATGGAATTCAACTCCCACTGCTGTAAGATGTACCATGTCTGCATTTCACAGCCTGCTGTGACCCTTTCTTTGCTAACAGAGATGATTTTTTCCCCTTCTGAACTTTTGAGACATTTTGAATGGGACAAAATCGAACAAAGTAAAGCAGTTTCTAATATGTGTTTTCTTCTCAGCATCAAACAGCCCATACACTGCAGGCCGCCCCTCTCCACTGGAATGTGCTGACAGAGCAGTTCCACAAAGGAAGGAGGGTTGAGCTTTCAGAAAGGACTTCCTGAGGTCCCAGAACGGGGATGTAAGCCACAGGTCCAAGATGCTGTTTCCTTCCAATTACCAAGTAGTGCTGTCCTTTGACCCCAGCTGAGGACCTACTCTGAGAACGTCATGGTTCTGCTGTCCTCAGTTAAGATCTCAGCCACCAAGGGGACCCAGATCCAGGGACTCAGAGGTCCTCCCGGACCACAGCAGAGCTAGGAGGGGGTTAGGGGGTCGGGGGGGATGAGGAGAGAAGAGTCTCACACCGGCCTCAACCTGCTCCTTCACTACAGAGCAGAGATCGGGGTTATGAGAGGTGTATTAAACTTGAAGGGAACTGAAGGGCATGAACCCTTTGCGTCCCCTCAGGAGCTATTCCTATTCTTCTTATACCCTACTTTCTGGTGTTCACTAAGTTCGGGATGCTGTCCGTGCTCGCCTTAGCCTGGCTCTCCTATGACGAACACCCACAGTCAAGGTAAGAAACAGGGGAAGAGTGGTGGTCCCTGTCTGTACCAAGGATGGAACCACAGGGCTGGGGTGGGGGTGGAAGGAGAGAGTGGGAGAGACAGAGGGAGAAGAGGTGGGGAGAGGAAAGAAGAGGAAAGGGAAAGGAAAGGAGGTCAGGGAGGCGAAGCGAAGGAGAGAGGGAGAGGAGCACAGGAAGGTAGAGGGAAGGGGTGGGAGACAGGAGGGCAAAGCTCAGCAAGTAACAGAGGTCTCTGCCAGGCTGCCCAGGAAGAATTGAGGCTGGTTTCTGGGTGGGTGCTCCCAGCCTCCTGCTATTTCCTTCCCTCCCACCTTTCTGACTGCTCCAGAGGAGCAGGGGCTTCCTGTGTCTCCTTGAGGGTTGGATTCAGGGACAGTACCTATAGCTCTGTGCCCAAGATATGGAAATGTGAGAAAGAGGCCCCTCTAGTGACCTGAAGATTTTAGGAAGAACCCTCCACCTCCAGGAGAAGTAGAGGGATTGGCAAGATCTCACCCAGTCTTTCCTTCCCTTCTGTACCTGCAGGTGGTAGGCGTTCAACTTGGGTACGAAACTGGACCCTCTGGAAGTATTTCCAAATTACTTCCCAGTAAAGATGACTACGCTTCCTCTGGGTGCCCTCAGTCCCTGTTGCCCAGACTCTCCCTCCCCATTCAGCCCTATGTTTTCAAAGGCTTTGGTGGCCAGCAGTGGACATCGAGGCCCAGAGGCATAATGCAGAGCAGGGACCCAAGATGGATGGGCAGGTGGGGAGACAAATGGATAGCACCTTGCCTCAGAGTGGCAGACCCAGGTCAGCCTCTCTGAGCATCATAACCCCTGGCAATCATGTGACAGTGAAGACATCCCAGTGAATAGGGATTTGGAGCTCCCCAAGGGAAACACAGGCTACCTACTGGGATCTGAGTCCACATGTCCTCTCTTCCTTCTATCCACTACTCTGATTCAATCTCCCTCTAACAGCTGGTGAAGATTCATGACCTCTGTCCCAAACACAACTATATCATTGCCAACCACCCCCATGGCATTCTCTCTTATGGTGTCTTCATCATCTTTCCCACTGAGGCCACTGGCTTTGCTCGGATTTTCCCAGCCATCACTCCTTATGTACGGACCTTGGAAGAGATCTTCTGGATCCCAATTGTGCGAGATTATGTGATGTCAATGGGTGAGTACAAGAAATCATTCCATTCTCTGACCTACCTCAGGGCTCCAACTTCTATAAGCCTTGACAGTCAGTCCAGTTCTCACTCCCTGCTGGAAGAGGACTTAGTAGAAAATGAGTCCAGAACACACTGAGCCAGTAACAGGAATATGTGGCCAAGCCTCAGGTTCTGTCCAAGATCTGGGAGGCAGGGTTTGGTTAGGCAGCAGGATAAGTTATAGGCATTCATAAGAGTTGCCAAGGATCCTTTCAGAAGAGGAAGCAGAAGCCTGGAGTTCAGGATCAAAGCCAAAGTGGAAAGCAAAAGCCAAATATCAAAACCAAATATAGGGCTTCCCTGGTGGCGCAGTGGTTGAGAGTCCGCCTGCCGATGCAGGGGACACGGGTTCGTGCCCCGGTCCGGGAAGATCCCACATGCTGCGAAGCGGCTGGGCCCATGAGCCATGGCCGCTGAGCCTGCGCGTCCGGAGTCTGTGCTCTGCAACGGGAGAGGCCACAACAGTGAGAGGCCCGCGTACTGCAAAAAAAAAAAACCAAATATAAGGAAAATGAGGCATGAATGGTACAGCTCAGATGAACTTTGCCTGACTCTTGGGGATGTCAACTGGCTTCTTTTGGCCAGTCATTTATGTAGCAGTTCTCATCTCAGGGCGTCTCAAAGACACTTTCAAGTCTTTCATACTAGCTGGTACCCTCCTGGCCCATGACCCTCATCTCCTGAGAACCCCTTTGAACTTGCGTAAGACATCAAGGGATAAAGGAGAGGCATCCGTCAGAATCCAGGACAACTTCCCCATGCCAGGCTTCAAGCCGGGGTACTGTGCCAAATGTCCTTCTCTTTGGATGAATATCCATCCTTCTTGACACCAGAAAACAACTGAAGCCAAACATTAAAAGGTAAGATACATTGATATCTGGAGGGGCCAGGTGGCACCACTAGAGTCCCAGAGGATGGTTCTGCTCCCCTCTGAGGTTGGTATGAACCTGGGTCTCAAGGACTGTGGCCTGGAGCCAATGTCTTCCATCCCAGGAGAGAACAGAAGGTGAGCACAGGGCAGAGTTGGGAAGCAGAGGTGAGGAAAGACTCTGTGACTGTTGTAGAGCAGCAAGATGTCATTCCATGGTTCATCTACATTTCAATTTGGCTTGGACAGGATCCTGGGTCTGCCTACTCTCCAGAACCCGCAGCCACTGGCTTCCCTTTGCCGGGTTGCTCTAAGGAGGAAGCAGGATGGTGGTGGCTATTCCTCATTACTCCTAGGGAAGAGAACTCTGGAGAGCCTCAATTGCCATCAGCCTGGGGAGAGTGGAAGACAGCTGTGGTTCCTGGGTAGAGAAGGAAGGGATGGGCTTAAATACTATAGAGCTAAGAGAAAGTAGGCAGAAGAACTCAATGTAGCCCCAACTGTAGTAGCACAGAGCTGCAAGGCAAGCAGCTGACCCTAAGGACCAACCTCAGGGCTAACCCAGGATGTGGAGGTTAAAGACAGAAGAGTGGAAACAAGCACAGTCAGGTGACAGAAGAACTGTCTCCAGCAGGAAGACCCTGGAGGAACCCCTTACCCCGTCCTCAAGCACCAAGTTTGTTATACCCCTTGACTCTTTGGTTTCACAGGTGTGTGCCCAGTGAGTGAGTTGGCCTTGAAGTATTTGCTGACCAAGAAAGGCTCGGGCAATGCTGTGGTTATTGTGGAGGGTGGAGCTGCTGAAGCCCTCTTGTGCCACGCAGGAGCCTCTACCATCCTCCTTAAACAGCATAAAGGTTTTGTGAGGTTGGCACTGAAGACAGGGTGGGTCCCTAGGTTCTGGTGCCCTATCATCAGGGTGCCATAGGTCCTCTGTAGCACCTGTCCAGAATGGTGCCCTTCCTTGGAAACCTGTTAGAGTGGGTTCCCTCTTCATTCTGACTGCTTCTCTCTACTCGCTCACACTGTGCCTTAAGGGTGTTTGGGCCTCCAGACACATTCTGGTGAGTACTTTTAAAGCTTGAAGTTAGAGAAAAAACAGTAAAAGACCTTTACCTTCTGCCCATTAGCCTGGTAGGCTGGGGGTCTGGGGAAGTGGGGCTTCAGTCTATATCAACCCATGAACTGCGAGGCCCAGAGAACTTACCCAGGGCAAGGAAGGCACTGGGCTTGATGCTGTGAGGATTGCAAACATGCAAAAGACATGGATACTGCCCCCAAAGAGCATATAATCTAGTTTGAGAAATAGAATGCATTCATTCCATAGTTACTGAACAGCTACTGTGTGTCAGGCATAGTACTAGGCATTAAGGATATAAAAATAGATAAGACCTGGTCCTTGCCTTTTAGGAACTCAGAGTCCAATGGAAGACAGACATATTCACATATAATTACAAAATATTTCCAGAAGCCAGCCACTTACCAGCTCAACTATCGCTCCCTGGTTTACCACCCCATCGTCTCTCCCCTGGATTATTACAACAGTCTCCTAAGTGCTCTCTCTGCTTCTACCCTTGCCTCCCTCACATCCAAGAGTCTATTCTCAACCGTGACCAGGATGATCCTATTCAGCGTGAGTCAGATCATGTCACTACTCCAAATGCTCCAGTGGCTCCCATTTCACACCGAGCAAAACCAAAGTCTTTACAAGGGCCTGCAAGACCCTAAATTATCTTGCCACGTCGCTGATCTCATCAGCCACTGCCCTCCCCCTTGCTCACTCCATTAGAGCTACACTGGCTTCCTTGCTGTCCCTCAAACAAGCCACACGCTCCTCCCTTAGGGCCTTTGTTCTGCTTGACCCCTCTGTCTGGGACATTATTCCTGCAAATAACTCTGGCTTATTCCTTTACCTCCTCCAGGTCTTTGCTCAAATGTCTCTTCTCAATAAGGTCAATCCTGACCATCCTGCTGGATCTTTTTCCCATTGCGCTTATCATCTCCTCATACGTCATCAATTTTATTTCTTTACATATATGGTTTTCTATTTGTTCATTATTATTGTTTATTGTCTGTCTTCTCTCAATAAAAGGTAAGCTCCATGAGGACAGAGATTTTTTTTTAATCCATTGTGTTCACTGATGTGTCCCCAGGGCTTAAAAATGTGCTGGCACGAAGAGGTGGTAGGAGATCGAGAAGATGGCGGAAGAGTAAGACGTGGAGATCACCTTCCTCCCCACAGATACACCAGAAATACATCTACACGTGGAATAACTCCTACAGAACACCTACTGAACGCTGGCGGAAGACCTCACACCTCCCAAAAGGCAAGAAACTCCCCACGTACCTGGGTAGGGCAAAAGAGAAAAGAATAAACCAAGACAAAAGAATAGGGACGGGAGAGCGCAGGGGAAGGACTGGGGTTGGCGGCGTGAGCACAGCCTGCAGGGGGTTGGTGCACCATGGCTGGCAGGGAAGGAGTCGGGGGAAAAGTCTGGACCTGCCGAAGAGGCAAGAGACTTTTTCTTCCCTCTTTGTTTCCTGGTGCGCGAGGAGAGGGGATTGGGAACGCTGCTTGGAGGAGCTCCAGAGACGGGCGCGAGCCGCAGCTGACGGCACAGACCCCAGAGACGGGCATGAGATGCTGAGGCTGCTGCTGCCGCCACCGGGAGGCCTGTGTGCGAGCGCGGGTCGCTGTCCGCACCTCCCTTCCGGGGAGCCTGTGCAGCCCGCCAATGCCGGGGTCCCGGGATCCAGGAACAACTTCCCCGGCAGGGCGCACGGCGTGCCTCGTGCTGGTGCGGCATCCCGACGGCCTCTGCCATCACAGGCTTGCCCCGCATCCGCGCCCCTCCCTCCCCCCGGCCTGGGTGAGCCAGAGTCCCCGAGGCAGCTGCTCCTTTGACCCCGTCCTGTCTGAGCGAAGAACAGACGCCTTCCAGCGACCTACACGCAGAGGCACGGCCAAATCCAAAGCTGAGCCCCAGGAGCTGTGCGAACAAAGAAGAGAAAGGGAAATCCCTCCCAGCAGCCTCAGAAGCAGCGGATTAAAGCTCCACAATCAACTTGATGTACCCTGCATCTGTGGAATACATGAATAGACAACGAATCATACCAAATTGAGGAGGTGGACTTTGAGAGCAAGATTTACTATTTTTTTCCCCTTTTCCTATTTTTGTGAGTGTGTATGTGTATACTTCGGTGTGAGATTTTGTCTGTATAGCTTTGCTGTCACCATTTGTACTAGGGTTCTATCCGTCCGTTTTTTTTTTTTTCTTTTTAAAAAAATTTTTTTCTTAATAATTATTTTTTATTTTAATAACTTTATTTTATCTTTATTTTATTTTATCCTCTTTCTTTCTTTTCTTTGTTTCTTACTTGCTTCCCTCCTCCCTTCCTTCCTTCCTTCCTTGCCTCCTTCCCTCCTTCCATCCTTTCTTTCTTTGTTTCCTTCTTTCCTTTCCTTCTTTCCTTCTTTCTTTCTACTTTTTCTCCCTTTTATTCTGAGACATGTGGATGAAAGGCTCTTGGTGCTGCAGCCAGGAGTCAGTGCTGTGCCTCTGAGGTGGGAGAGCCAACTTCAGGACACCGGTCCACAAGAGACCTCCCAGCTCCACGTAATATCAAACGGCAAAAATCTCCCAGAGATCTCCATCTCAACACCAGCACCCAGCTTCACTCAACGACCAGCAAGCTACAGTGCTGGACACCCTATGCCAAACTAGAAAGACAGGAACACAACCCCACCCATTAGCATACAGGCTGCCTAAAATAATAATAAGTCCACAGACACCCCAAAACACACCACCAGACATGGACCTGCCCACCAGAAAGACAAGATCCAGCCTCATCCACCAGAACACAGGCACTAGTCCCCTCCACCAGGAAGCCTACACAACCCACTGAAACAACTTTAGCCACTGGGGACAGACACCAAAAACAACGGGAACTACTAACTTGCATCCTGCAAAAAGGAGACCCCAAACACAGAAAGATAAGCAAAATGAGAAGACAGAAAAACATACAGCAGTTGAAGGAGCAAGATAAAAAACCCACCAGACCTAAGAAATGAAGAGGAAATAGGCAGTATACCTGGAAAAGAATTCAGAATAATGATAGTAAAGATGATCCAAAATCTTGGAAATAGAATAGAGAAAATGCAAGAAACATTTAACAAGGACCTAAAAGAACTAAAGATGAAACAAGCAATGATGAACAACACAATAAATGAAATGAAAAATACTCTAGATGGGATCAATAGCAGAATAACTGAGGCAGAAGAACGGATAAGTGACCTGAAAGATAAAATAGTGGAAATAACTACTGCAGAGCAGAATAAAGAAAAAAGAATGAAAAGAACTGAGGACAGTCTCAGAGACTTCTGGGACAACATTAAACGCACCAACATTCGAATTATAGGGGTTCCAGAAGAAGAAGAGGAAAAGAAAGGGACTGAGAAAATATTTGAAGAGATTATAGTTGAAAACTTCCCTAATATGGGAAAGGAAATAGTTAATCAGGTCCAGGAAGCACAGAGAGTCCCATACAGGGTAAATCCAAGGAGAAACATGCCAAGACACATATTAATCAAACTGTCAAAAATTAAACACAAAGAAAATATATTAAAAGCAGCAAGGGAAAAAACAACACATAACACATAAGGGAATCCCCATAAGGTTAACAGCTGATCTTTCAGCAGAAACTCTGCAAGCCAGAAGGGAGTGGCAGGACATATTTAAAGTGATGAAGGAGAAAAACCTACAACCGAGATTACTCTACCCAGCAAGGATCTCATTCAGATTTCATGGAGAAATTAAAACCTTTACAGACAAGCAAAAGCTGAGAGAGTTCAGCACCACTAAACCAGCTTTACAACAACTGCTAAAGGAACTTCTCTAGGCAACAAACACAAGAGAAGGAAAAGACCTACAATAACAAACCCAAAACAATTAAGAAAATGGGAATAGGAACATACATATTGATAATTACCTTAAATGTAAATGGATTAAATGCTCCCACCAAAAGACACAGACTGGTTGAATGGATACAAAAACAAGACCCATATATATGCTGTCTACAAGAGACCCACTTCAGACCTAGAGACACATGCAGACTGAAAGTGAGGGGATGGAAAAAGATATTCCATGCAAATGGAAACCAAAAGAAAGCTGGAGTAACAATTCTCATATCAGACAAAATAGATTTTAAAATAAAGACTATTAGAAGAGACAAAGAAGGACACTACATAATGATCAAGGGATCGATCCAAGAAGAAGATATAACAATTGTAAATATTTATGCACCCAACATAGGAGCACCTCAATACATAAGGCAAATACTAACAGCCATAAAAGGGGAAATCGACAGTAACACATTCATAGTAGGGGACTTTAACACCCCACTTTCACCAATGGAAATATCGTCCAAAATGAAAATAAATAAGGAAACACAAGCTTTAAATGATACATTAAACAAGATGTACTTAATTGATATTTATAGGACATTCCATCCAAAAACAACAGAATACACTTTTTTCTCAAGTGCTCAGGGAACATTCTCCAGGATAGATCATATCTTGGGTCACAAGTCAAGCCTTGGTAAATTTAAGAAAATTGAAATTGTGTCAAGTATCTTTTCCAACCACAATGCTATGAGACTAGATATCAATTACAGGAAAAGATCTGTAAAAAATACAAACACATAGAGGCTAAACAATACACTACTTAATAACGAAGTGATCACTGAAGAAATCAAAGAGGAAATCAAAAAATACCTAGAAACAAATGACATTGGAGACACGATGACCCAAAACCTATGGGATGCAGCAAAAGCAGTTCCAAGAGCAAAGTTTATAGCAGTACAGTCCTACCTTAAAAAACAAGAAACATCTCAAATAAACAACCTAAACTTACACCTAAAGCAATTAGAGAAAGAAGAACAAAACAACCCCAAAGTTAGCAGAAGGAAAGAAATCATAAAGATCAGATCAGAAATAGATGAAAAAGAAATGAAGGAAACGATAGCAAAGATTAATAAAACTAAAAGCTGGTTCTTTGAGAATATAAACAAAATTGATAAACCATTAGCCAGACTCATCAAGAAAAAAAGGGAGAAGACTCAAATCAATAGAATTAGAAATGAAAAAGGAGAAGTAACAACTGACACTGCAGAAATACAAAAGATCATGAGAGATTACTACAAGCAACTATACGCCAATAAAATGGACAACCTGGAAGAAATGGACAAATTCTTAGAAATGCACAACCTGCCAAGACTGAATCAGGAAGAAATAGAAAATATGAACAGACCAATCACAAGTAATGAAATTGAAACTGTGATTAAAAATCTTCCAACAAATAAAAGCCAAGGACCACATGGCTTCACAGGCGAATTCTGTCCAACATTTAGAGAAGAGCTAACACCTATCCTTCTCAAACTCCTCCAAAATATAGCAGAGGGAGGAACACGCCCAAACTCATTCTACGAGGCCACTATCACCTTGATACCAAAACCAGACAAGGATGTCACAAAGAAAGAAAACTACAGGCCAATATCACTGATGAACATAGATGCAAAAATCCTCAACAAAATACTAGCAAACAGAATCCAACAGCACGTTAAAAGGATTGTACACCATGATCAAGTGGGATTTATTCCAGGAATGCAAGGATTCTTCAAAATACGCAAATCAATCAATGTGATAAACCATATTAACAAATTGAAGGAGAAAAACCATATGATCATCTCAATAGATGCAGAGAAAGCTTTCAACAAAATTCAACACCCATTTATGATAAAAACCCTGCAGAAAGTAGGCACAGAGGGAACTTTCCTCAACATAATAAAGGCCATATATGACAAACCCACAGCCAACATCATCCTCAATGGTGAAAAACTGAAAGCATTTCCACTAAAATCAGGAACAAGGCAAGGTTGCCCACTCTCACCACTCTTATTCAACATAGTTTTGGAAGTTTTAGCTACAGCAATCAGAGAAGAAAAGGAAATAAAAGGAATCCAAATTGGAAAAGAAGAAGTAAAGCTGTCACTGTTTGCAGATGACATGATACTGTACATAGAGAATCCTAAAGAGGCTACCAGAAAACTACTAGAGCTAATCAATAATTTTGGTAAAGTAGCAGGATACAAAACTAATGCACAGAAATTTCTGGCATTCCTGTACAGTAATGATGAAAAATCTGAAAGTGAAATCAAGAAAACACTCCCATTTACCACTGCAAAAAAAAGAATAAAATACCTAGGGATAAACCTACCTAAGGAGACAAAACACCTGTATGAAGAAAATAATAAGACACTTATGAAAGAAATTAAAGATGATACAAATAGGTGGAGAGATATACCATGTTCTTGGACTGGATTAATCAACATTGTGAAAGTGACTCTACTACCCAAAGCAATCTACAGATTCAATGCAATCCCTATCAAACTACCAATGGCATTTTTCACAGAACTAGAACAAAAAAATTCACAATTTGTATGGAAACACAAAAGACCCCGAATAGCTAAAGCAATCTTGAGAACGAAAAACGGAGCTGGAGGAATCAGGCTCCCTGACTTCAGACTATACTACAAAGCTACAGTAACCAAGACAGTGTGGTAGTGGCACAAAAACAGAAATATAGATCAATGGAACAGGATAGAAAGCCCAGAGATAAACCCATGCACATATGGTCACCTTATCTTTGAAAAAGGAGGCAGGAATGTACAGTGGAGAAAGGACGGCCTCTTCAATAAGTGGTGCTGGGAAAACTGGACAGGTACATGTAAAAGTATGAGATTAGATGACTCCCTAACACCATACACAAAAATAAGCTCAAAATGCATTAAAGACCTAAATGTAAGGCCAGAAACTATCAAACTCTTAGAGGAAAACATAGGCAGAACACTCTATGACATAAATCACAGCGAGATCCTTTTTGATCCACCTCCCAGAGAAATGGAAATAAAAACAAAAATAAACAAATGGGACCTATTGAAACTTCAAAGCTTTTGCACAGCAAAGGAAACCATAAACAAGACCAAAAGACAACCCTCAGAATGGGAGAAAATATTTGCAAATGAAGCAACTGACAAAGGATTAATCTCCAATATTTACAAGCAGCTCATGCAGCTCAATAACAAAAAAAAAACAACCCAATCCAAAAATGGGCAGAAGACCTAAATAGACATTCCTCCAAAGAAGATATACAGACTTCCAACAAACACTTGAAAGAATGCTCAACATCATTAATCATTAGAGAAATGCAAATCAAACCTACAATGAGGTATCATCTCACACCAGTCAGAATGGCCATCATCAAAAAATCTAGAAACAATAAATGCTGGAGAGGGTGTGGAGAAAAGGGAACACTCTTGCAGTGCTGGTGGGAATGTGAATTAGTACAGCCACTATGGAGAACAGTATGGAGGTTCCTTAAAAAACTACAAATAGAACTACCATATGACCCAGCAATCCCACTACTGGGCATATACCCTGAGAAAACCATAATTCAAAAAGAGTCATGTACCAAAATGTTCATTGCAGCTCTATTTACAATAGCCAGGAGATGGAAGCAACCTAAGTGTCCATCATCAGATGAATGGATAAAGAAGATGTGGCACATATATACAGTGGAATATTACTCAGCCATAAAAAGAAACGAAATTGAGCTATTTGTAATGAGGTGGATGGACCTAGAGTCTGTCATACAGAGTGAAGTAAGTCAGAAAGAGAAAGACAAATACCGTATGCTAACATATATATATGGAATTTAAGGAAAAAAATGTCATAAAGAACCGGGGGTAAGACAGAAATAAAGACACAGACCTACTAGAGAATGGACTTGAGGATATGGGGAGGGGGAAGGGTAAGCTATGACAAAGCGAGAGGGTGGCATGGACATATATACACTACCAAACGTAAGGTAGATAGCTAGTGGGAAGGAGCTGCATAGCACAGGGAGATCAGCTCGGTGCTTTGTGACCACCTAGAGAGGTGGGATAGGGAGGGTAGGAGGGAGGGAGACGTAAGAGGGAAGAGAGATGGGAACATATGTATATATATAACTGATTCACTTTGTTATAAAGCAGAAACTAGCACACCATTGTAAAGCAATTATACTCCAATAAAGATGTTAAAAAAAAAAAAGAATAAGAGGTGGTAGTGTTCTTCCTCAAAAAAAAAAAGAAAAAGTGCTGGCACATAGAAAGAACTCAATACATATTTGTTGAATGAAAGATGTGCCATAATGGACATATGTATAAAGCACTATGGGAGCACCAGCTGATGGAAAGCCTTCCACCCAAAGTAGAGGTTTCATAGGTGGGTAACATCTGAACTGTGAATTGAAATATTAGTAGGCATTACCAGTTAGACCAAAAGGGAGAAAAACTCAGGCATTCAGTGAGGTCCTATGATGACATGTCTGGCACTATGCCAGTCCCTGGGGTTCAAAGATGAATAAGACATAGTTCCCCCTTTTGATTAGCTTGCTGTCTACTGGGAGTCAGCCAGGCAAGGTGATGACTGTAGTACAGAGTTGGGGTAGTGTTAGTGTAGGAAAGAGGTAAGCACCAGATGAGGGAGGTGGGAGTGGGAGGAAATGGAGGGGCTCAAAGAACTGGAGGTGGTTCAGGGGATGAAATTGGAGCTGAGTAGTGAAGGGGGAAATAGAATTAGTCACGTGAAGACAGAGGGAAGGCATTTATAGCAGAAGGAGCAAGATGTACAAAGGCGCATAGACAAGCAAGAACGTAGCACACTTAGTATGGCTAGGCAGATTCTGACGAAGGGCTGAGGAGAGGGGAAGCTAGCCAGGTAGGCAAGGCTAGAGCACAAAGGCCTTGCTAAGCAGTGTGGCACAAAGTGAGGAGCTCTGGAAGAGTTTTAAAGAGAAGAGTGACATGTCCAGATACACAGTTTAGGAAGATCACTCTGGATGCTGGGTACAATAAGGGCTATTAGATTTCCTGAGATTACTTTCCTCCCATCACAAGACAAGGTGCAGCAACTCCCCTCAAAGGGTTCACTTGTGGGAGGTGGGTGTGGAGCATAGCAAGAATGAGACACAAGGCTGGAGATGCTTGGGTTCTTGGACTCTTGTCCTATAATGGGGAGATTGCAGAGGTTTCCTACCTTGGAGAGGGTTTCACTGCGGGGAGCTTCCTGGGAGAACTCACACTCCTGCACGTCTCTTTGCAGATCATACCTTGTTCCCTCCTATTCCTTTGGAGAGAATGAGGTTCACAATCAAGAGACCTTCACTGAGGGCACGTGGCTAAGGTTCTTCCAAATAAACCTTGCAGGACAGAATCAAAAAAAACCCTGAGACTAAGTTTCTGTACCTTCCACGGCCGGGGCCTCACTCGAGGATCCTGGGGCTTCTTGCCTTTCAATCGGCCCATTACCACTGTTGTTAAGTTTTTCAGCATCTTTGGACCACTCTGGTTCTTGATTCCCCCCATTCAGGTCATCCCTCAAGTCTCAGGGGACCCGGCACACAGCTGAGACAGGCCATGGGAATTCCAGTGGCCGTGGTTGAGGGCAGGGTGGGGAGGACAACTAAACAGATCAGAGTTGTGGCCATTCACGGGAGGGACACAGTTCAGCAGCTGCCATGAGGGCATCATTACTCGCATACATTCCTTCAGCACTCTCTGAGTTTACTCTCATTCTCTTAAGCATGCACGAGATTAGGTATTTGGAGAACATGGGACAGTATGGGGTTGGAGCAGAGGGAAAGAACAAAGGAAGGGGAGGGGACCCAGATACTGAGTTTCAGTATGTGGCTCCCTCTGAGGAATGGGTAATTTGAGTTGGGTGGGGGGAAAGGTCTGATGCTTGTCCCTCCTCCTTCCCCACAGTTGGGGAGCCCCTGCCAATTCCCAAGATTAAGAAGCCAAACAAAAAGACGGTGGACAAGTACCACACACTCTACATCAGGACCCTGTGCAAGCTGTTTGACAAAGTACAGTATGGCCTCCCTGAGACCCAGGAGCTGACAATCATATAACAGGAGCTGGATTTCCCCATTATTGAACCCCCAACGCATTAAGGGATCCAAGTAGGGCCACATGGAAAGTAGAATCTGGGGAGAGGGGGAGATCTCAGGGTTGAGTGAGGAGGCCAACCAAGCCAGAAAGTACTTAATGAGTCCAGCTTACAGGAAGGAACCAGAGGGATGGAGAAGAGTGGGCAACAACCCAGTTTAGTAAGCAGAGTCTTGTGAGTCCACAGATATTTTCTGCCTCCCTGACTCCAGCCAACTCTGATCAGAGGAATGAGAAGTTAAAGAACACCATGCCCTTTCCTCCTGAGCCTTAGTGACACCATCACTATTTAGGTTGAAGCTTAGAAGCCTTGTTGAGAACAAGGATGGTTTGTTTCCTCCTAGGCCCTTGGCCCTTGCCTTACAATTTGGGGGCCACCACAAGGTAAACCAGGGACCTGAGCTATGCTTTCCTGATCCAAAGCAGACACGACTCCCTCAGCTGTGTTACAGTTCTACACTGCCAAAAACTTTATTAAAAATAATTATGCCATTTCTTCTATAAAAATAAAGCTCTAGGGGCTTCCCCAGTGGCTCAGTGGTTGAGAGTCCGCCTGCCGATGCAGGGGACATAGGTTTGTGCCCCGGTCCGGGAGGATCCCACATGCCGCGGAGCGGCTGGGCCCGTGAGCCATGGCCGCTGAGCCTGCGCGTCCTGAGCCTGTGCTCCGCAACGGGAGAGGCCACACAACAGCGAGAGGCCCGCGTACCGGGGGAAAAAAAATAATAAAGCTCTAGATATATAAAACAGGATATGACTATTTCCTAATTACAGTGTGGTTCACTACTGGGCTTCCCTGAAATCTAGCCAGAAAGCTGGTCTGTGGAGAGCCATTTTCCTCTTCTTTATCCACCCTTTACTCTGTAGCTGACAGAAAAGGTGGAGGAGTGGAACCAGAACTGCTGTACAGTGTAGGAGACAGGACAGAACCATGGGAACTGGCACAGGCATGCCCTGAGTAGCCCATCTCTCCTGATCCTACATAACCACCCTGGGTGAGGAGGGAGGGCACCTACAAGACCATGTACCAGCTGTGAGTCTACTTTATGTCAAAAACCTACTGCAGGGAATTCCCTGGTGGCCCAGTGGTGAAGACTCTGTGCTTTCACTGCCGAAGGGCAAGGTCTAATCCCTGGTCAGGGAACTAAGATCCCACAAGCTGCATGGTGCAGACAAAATAATAATGATAACAACAATAATAATAATAAAAAAGCCTACTGCATACCAGAGACTATGCCATCATTTTCTCAGCCTCTGTCTCTGAATGCTAACACAGCCCCATGAGATTGCCATCATCTCCATTTCACAGTAGCTAAAACTCCTAGAGGTGAAGTAACTTGCCCAAAGCCACAAAATCCAGGTTTTGCTAGCTCCATTCCAAAGCTCTTTCTAATTCAAAAAATCACCACACCTCTCATTCCTCATTTCTTGGAGACCTATTAATCAGCTTCATTTTCCTAAATGTGGTCCTGTGGCACCGTACTTAAATTAGCTCGTAAGTGTGGGTAAAAATTACATGGATTCTACTCCAAGTGGTCCCAGGTTAGGCCTCACGGAAAATAATGTACTAATTAAATAAACTTTTTATAGCGACAGAATGGAATTGAGAGTCGAGAAACAAACTCTACATTTATGGTCAATTGATTTTTGCCAAGGGTGCCAGGATAATTCAATGGGGGGAGGGGAGAATAGTCTTTTTAATAAATGATGCAGGGACGGATGGATGGAGGATGGCTGAGTCGGGGTGGGTGGATGGATAGGTAAGTGGTTTGACTGGAAGTGTGGGTTGGCTGAAGAACAGATAGATGGGTAGGTGAGAGGGCGGCTGAGTGGGAGAGTGAGTGGGCAGACAGATGGGCCGTTGAGGAAGGATGGATAAATGATGGTAGATGGGTGGGTGGACAGGTGAACAGCAACGGCACTGGGACTGGAATCAGGGGTGTATCTGACTTCAGACCCAGGACCCTCACCCAGGTCTGCTCCAGAAATGTCTTCAAGCCCCAGGGACCTGGACCCAGCTGGAGTGGAGGGCCCTGAGGATCAGAGGGACCCTCTTGCCCCAGGTGGAGTTTCATGGAACCACCTCTGCTCCCCACTTCCCGAGATCAGAGCCTCTCAGCTGCATGCCCCACTGCCTGGGCCTCCTTGGGAGGGGAAATAGGGACCTACCTTTTCCAGGTAGTTAAACTCCATTGTGATCTCCCGGAAGAAAAAGTAGATGTGGCTGCCCCACTCTACCACGTGGACAAAGTAGGGCTCTGTAGGAGAGGAGGGGTCAGAACTCAGCCCATGACAGGAGAAAGGGAGTTTCTGGGGCTGGGAACACAGTAGCCTGGGTGGCTACTTTTACAGTGAAGGGGGGAATATAAGCTGATTACCCAGGCAAAATAAAAGAGACCAAAGTTTTGGGGGTTTTTGGAGGGAGTAGGTCTCAGAATCCTAAAATCACCATGTCTTCTTTCCACAGACAGCAACGTCTACTGTTTTGTCACCTTCCTCCTTCATGTGTTGAGCTGAGCTCCTACCATACCGCTCGTGCTGTTCCATTTCAGGTTGCTAAGCCACCCATTTCCAGCAAGTTCTGCTTTAGATCCAACTTAAATCTTTCCTCTAACTTTATCTTCAAAGAGGCTAGTAGGTTCCAAAGATGAGATGGGAGTTCCCTGCCTGTCTCCTCTGGGACTGTTATTCTGGTGGGGGAATTTGATGAATGCCAGCCCTACCAGGTCTGCCCCTATCACCCCACCTTTGAACCACTTGGAGTCGTGTTTCATGGTGCGCAGAGTGGGCCGGTCCCTGAGGCTGTGGTAGATGACTGCGTCGATGGCTAGGAAGTCGGTAATGGTGGCTGTGAAGAGCATCCCTTCTGGATGGGGGTGAGTCAGGGGGAGGCAGGTGAGAGATTAGATCATAGAGGCCAGAGGCTGGGTGGGTCAAAACTTGACTTCAAGACTGAGCCCTGAGCCTAAGTGAGCCCTAAGCCCCAGGCTGAGCCCCAACCCTGCCGAGGCCCTGACTTCAGGCTGATCCCCAACTCCTCAGCTCATCCCCAACTTCGGCTAAGCCCTGCCCTTGAGATTCTTCTGCCTGTTTTATAGCTGGAGAGATGGTCTCCCAGCCGTCTTCTAAATGACCTGACTCCAAGAGTGGAAAATGCCATGTCTTGCTGTGGACTGGGGCCCCATAAGATGGTCAGAGTTGGGGGCACTCACCAGAGAAGAGGGCAACATTGGCGTGTTTGGGGTCGTATGGGCAGCTGGCCATGCCGCCGATGTTGTCCCCGAGGGGCTGCAGTGTGTCCATCTGCAGGGGGGACAGGGACTGAGTGACAGAGCTCCTGTCTATACCTAGCAGCCCCTGGCTCCCCCAGCCACCCCCTCCAAGGGGAATCCTGGCGCCACCTTGGATGTTGTGTGACTTGGTCAGTCATTTAACCTCTCTGGGACTCAATTTACTGATCTGTAATAAATGGGTCTGAATCGATCCTAATTCATCCTATAACTGGTTTGTAGTTTAAGTTGCTGCAGCCTGTACAGGCCTCCTTTGGAAGCCTCCTCTGGAGCTCCGGGTGAGGGGCCTGGGAGGGCGTATCCAGTAAGGCTTCCTGTAGGAGATGATGTGGTCTGGGGATAGGGCATGACCAGTGGAGGGCCGGTGAGCAAAGGCGTGGAGGTTGAACCTGGGGCAGTCACGGCTTCGAAGAGCGATGACTCAGGCTGTAGTTGGCACACACGGGGTTGAAGGCATTGGAACCACACACGAAGAGGGTGGATTCGTCCCGAAGTAGAAGCACCTTTACAAAATTTCGACACTCGCCCTGGATTGGGGCGGCGGGAAGAGAGAAGCCAGGGTGGGTGTGGTCACGGGTGTGGGCGGGGCCAGGGAAGAGGCAGGGCGCGCAAGGAGGGGCCAGGGATGTGGGCGTGGCAAAAAATCAGGGGGCTAAACTAGGACTAGGCTGGGGGCGAGGCCATGACTAAGGGAGGGGCTCAGACAGGGAAATAGGGCACTTGAAGGGGTGGAGCTATGGCAAGACGAGGGCTAAGGGCACGGCCACGACTGAGGACCACCTTGGGGGCGTGGCCAGGCTCTGGGAGTAGCCATGGCAACACCAGGGCCCTGGCTTAGAATGAAAGCAGAATATTTGCCCTGGGGGGTGGCCGGGACGGATTGGGGCGTGGTTGGAGGCGTGGCCAGGGCCCACTTACCTCCTGCTTGCCCTTCATCCGACACAAGCTGATGTCGCTGGGGTCGGAGCACCAGGTCAGCTTCTGGGACACAGAGAGCTGGTGAGGTGAGCGGGGTCCTTGACAGCCCTAGGAACCCTGCTAGGGAGGCCCGAATCCACCTTGCTCCCCAGCTCAGTGTCCGGGCCCCCTGGCGGGAGCCCCAAACATTACCCCCTCCCCTCCCGCCTGCACCCGCTCCTCACCCGCTGGTACCGCAGCTCCATGGACGTGGGGGGGCTCCAGCTCCACCCGGTACAGGTTGTCCCTAGAGGAGGGGTGTAGTTAATGAGATCGGAGAGCCTCCCCTCCCCCCCCCACTATTCTGACAGCAGACGTGAGGTCCAACACGTGCCAAACAGGGGCGTGCCAGCGCCTCTGCCATGTGCAGCTCCGCATGTGCATGCCCTAACACGCCTTCTCGTGCCCTAAAGTGAGCCAGGGGTTCTAGCACACCCCACATGCCTTACCACGCCACCTCACGCTTACACACCCCATGGCGTACACCCAACACAACGCACTGTCTGATGCCTTTACATCCGCTGTCCCCCCCCCTCAGTCTCCCCCAGGCTCTCACCCTTCCCCCCATGCCGCAGAAACTGCCCTAATCAAGGTCACTGGGCCCTGTTAAATCCAGCGGTCACTTCTCTGTCCTCCTCCCCCTCTCCACAGCATCTTCCCCGGCCAGTCCACCCTCGTCCTGGGAACTCCATCCTCACTGGGTCCTTGGACCCTGCACTTGCCTGGCTTCCCTCCCACCTCTCCGGGCCCTCTTCTCTCCCTGGTGGGCCCACACCTGGGTTCTCTGGCCTCTTCCCTCCCCCACCCATACCCCTCCTGGGTGCCTTGTCCACTCTCAGGGCTGGAACCACGTCTCTGCCCAGATGACACCCACAGTCCTATCTCCAGCCAGGGCCTCCCCTGAGCTCCAGATTTGGGGTCCAGCTAACCCTCAAGGTCTCCACGAGGGGGCTCAAAGGTGTCTCATACTCTGTCTCACACTCATCTTGGCCACATGGCACCCGACCATCCCCCAAATCTGCTCCCGCCCTGTCTGCCATCTCGGCTGAGACAACTCTATCCCCACGACGTGGGAGTCACCTTCAACTCCCTTCTCCTTCCCTCCCAGTGTCACCTCTGCCTTCAGTGTCTAGCGAGGGTTCACCCACTTCTCACATCCTCTATGACCACCACCCTAATTCAGCCCCCATTACTGCCCACCTGGAGCAGCATTGTCCCCTCTGCCCTAGTCTAGTGGCTCCTGCCCTCACCAGTACAGTCTGTCCTCCCCCAGCCGCCGCCAGAGGGCACCTGTGAGCACCTGAGTCAGGTCCTGTCCCTCCTCTGCCCACAGCCCTCCAGGGTCCCACCTCCCTTGAGGGTAAAAGCTCAAGGCCTCCCCTGCAACCCACAAGGCCCTGCCTTTCCTGACCCGTCCCCTCCCTGCCCTCCCCTCCTCCTCTCCCCCTCACTCACTCTGCTCCAGCCACACAGGCCTCCTTGCTATCCCTCCACCATGCCAGGCAGAGTCCGGCCCCAGGACTTTTGTGCGGGCTGTGTCCTATGCCCTGACTTCTCCCTCTCCTGCAGATTTCCTTATAGCTGGCTCCTCATCATTCAGTTCTCAACTCAAATGTCACCTTCTCAGAAAAGCCTTTGGTGTGCCACTTCAGCACCCCCTCTAGCAAAGAAAAATAAATAAATAAATAATGCAGGGACAACTGGATATTCACATGCAAAAGGGTGAAGTTGGAACCCTACCTCATACCATAGACAAAAATTAATTCAAAAAGGATCAAAGACCTACAGTGAGAGCTTAAACTGTAAGACTCTTGAAGAAAAAGTAGGGTAGTTTTCTGGCCTTGGATTTGGCAATGGTTTCTTCTGTATGACACCAAAAACACAAACAACAAAACAAAAAATAGGTAAGTTGAACTTCCTTAAAATTAAACACTTTTGTGCTTCAAAGGACACTATCAAGAAAGTGAAAAGACAACACAGAGAACAGGAGAAATTTGCAAATCATGCATCCGATCAGAGTCTAGTATCCAGAATATATAAATAACTTACAACTCAACAACAAAAAGACAACCCAATTAAAAATGGACAAAGGATTTGAATAGACACATTCCTCCAAATAAGATATACAAATGAAAAATGGTCAGTTAACCATTAGGGAAATATAATACAAAACTAAAATGAGATACCATTTCATACCCCCTAGGATGACTATAATAAAAAAGACAGACAATAACAAGTATTGGTGAGGATATGGAGAAATTGGAACTCTTAAGGCATTGTTGATGGGAGCATAAAATGGTACAGCTCCTTTGGAAAACAGCTTGACAGTTCCTCAAAAAGTTAAAGTTATCATATGATCTAGCAATTCCACTCCTACATATATACCCAAAGAACTGAAAACACATGGTCACACAAAAATTTGTATATGGATGACCATAGCACAACTATTTACACAGGCATGCCTGGTTTTATTGTGCTTCACTTTATTTTGCTTTGCAGATAATGCATTTTTTACAAATTGAAATTTTGTGGCAACCCTCTGTGGAGCAAATCTATCTGCACCATTTTCCCAACAATATTTGCTCACTTCATGTCTCTGAATCACTTTTTTGGTAATTCTTGCAATCCTTCAAGCTTTTCCTTTATTATTATGTTTGTTATGGTGATCTGTGATCAGTGATCTTTGATGTTACTACAAAAACTCACTGAAGCCTCAGATAATAGTTAGCATTTTTTTAGCAATAAAGCATTTCTTAATTAAGGTATGTACATTGTTTTTTTAGACACAGTGCTATTGAATACTTAATAAACTACAGTATAGTGTAAACATAACTTTTATATGCACTGGGAAACCAAAAAATTCACATGACTCACTATACTGCAACATTTGCTTTATTGTAGTGGTATGGAACTGAACCCACAACATCTCCTAGGTAAGCCTCTAATAGCAAAAAAGTGGAAACAGCCCATAGGTTCACCAGTTGATGGATGGAGAAACAAAATGTGGTACATCTATACAATGAAATATTATTCAGCCATAAAAAGAATGAAGTACTGATACATGCCACAACAGGATGAACCTTACAAGCATTATGCTAAGTAAAAGTAGCCAGAAACACAAAGCCATATATTGCATGATTCCATTTCCATGAAATGTCCAGAATAGGCAAATATGTGGATACAGAGAAAGAGAGAGACAGAAAGTAGATTAGTCATTGTCAGGGACTGGGGAAAGAGGTGATGGGGAGTGACTGCTAATGGGTACATGGTTTCTTTCTGAGGTGATGAAAATGTTGTGAAAATAGATAGTGGTTATGGCTGCACAACCTTGTGAATATGTTAAAACCCACTAAATTGTATGCTTTAAAATGGTGAATTTTATGATATATTGTAACCAAGTTCAAGCTGATACTACTTGCTGCACAAGAGGCCACTGAGTTGAGAGACAAGGTGTTGGGGCAAGGAAAAACGACTTTATTCAGAAAGCTAGCAAACCAAGAAGATGATGGACTAATGTCCTAAAAAACCATCTTAATTCAGGGTAGAATTCAAACTTTTTTTATTGTAGGGAAGAAGGAAGCAAGAAGGGGTTAAGATCAGGAAGTGACATGTGGTCACCAGCAAGGGTCCGAGGATGGTTGTGAAAACTTTGTTCTTGGTCAGCTGACTTCGGTTGATGTGAGTCTGGTCACAATGTTCCTTTAAATCTGGACAAAACAATAGTTATGTTTTTGTTCATACTTCCTTATCTCCCTGTGGGAGACAAGTTTCAGGTGAGGGGCTGTTTGCACAAATCTTAAGCTGTAAGCAAAATTCCTTTAGTGATTAACATGTGTATGTGTAGAGCTAAGCAGAGGTTTATGACTCAGAGATTAAAGCAGCAGAAGAGATAGATACATTATGGAGTCAAAGATGCCAAGCTTCTTCTACAAATAAGATGCAGGCAGGGGACATTGTGTGGAGGGGAGTCTGTCCCCAAGAGGGCCCCACACAGTTCTGCTTTGTTACAATATGAATTATACCTCAAAGAAAAATTAGCCTTTTAGTTTAAGGGAAAAAGTGTGAGCTATATTAAAGTTTCAAAATCACAATAAAAAATTTTAATACTTTTTATTTTGAAATGAATGTAGATTCACAGGAAGTTGCAAAAATAGAGTTCATCTGACCCTTTACCCAGCTTCCCACAATGGTGACATCTTATATAATTGAAGTACAATATCAAAACAGGAAATTGACACTGGTACAATACCGTTAATTAGACTACAGGCCTTATTCAGTTTTCACCATCTTTATACACACTCATTTGTGTGTGTGTGTATGTGTGCATGTATGTGTGTCTATACAATTTGACCCCATATATAGATTTGTGTAGCCCCCATGACCGTCATGATATAGAACTGTTTCATCACCATAGAGGAACTCCCTCATACTATACCTGTATAATCACATACCTCCACCTTCGTCCCTGTCTCCTGGCAATCACTGACCTGTTCTCTATTTCTGTTGCTTTGTCATTTCAAGGATATTACCCTCAGCCTTCTGTATCCAAGGGTTCTGCATCCACGATTTCAACCATGGATCAAAAATATTTCATCAAAAATATTGTCAGATCAAAAATATTCAAAGTATTCAGAAAAAAATTCCAGAAAGTTCCAAAAGGCAAAACTCGAATTAGCCACAAGCCAGCAATTATTTACATGGCATTTACATTGTATTAGGCACTATAATATAAGTAATCTAGAGATGATTTTTAAATATATGAGAATGGGACCTAATTCAACTTAAAAGCTTTTGCATAGCAAAGGAAACCATCAACAAAACAAAAAGACAACTTACTGAATGGGAGAAAATATTTGCAAACAATATGACCCATAAGGGATTAATACCTAAAATATATAAACAGCTAATACAACTTAATATCAAAAAACAAACAACCCAATTTAAAAGTGGGCAGAAGACCCGAACAGACATTTTTCCAAAGAAGACATGCAGATGGCCAACAGGTACATGAAAAGATGCTCAACATTGCTAATCATTAGAGAAATGCAAATTAAAACCACAATGAGCTATCACCTCACACCTGTCAGAAGAGCTATCATCAAAAAGACCACAAATAACAAATGTTGGTGAGGATGTGGAGAAAATGGAACCCTCGTACACTGTTAGTAGAAATGCAAATTGATGCAGCCACTATGGAAAATAGTATGGAAGTTCCTCTAAAGACTAAAAACTAAAACTAAAAATAGAACTAAACATGATCCAGCAATTTCACTTCTGGGTATATATCCGAAGA